CCTGAAGAGTGTATCAATGCCAACGGTGGCCGTTTGTGTCAACCGTACCAGTACCAAGACCCCGCAGAAGCTTTGTATTTGAGCCTACGAGGGCCAGAGCGGAAAAGCTAGGAGTTATAACAGAGTTCAACTCCTAAGCCCTAAATCCCCTTGCAGCCTAAACCGCTTTAATTTAACAGAGTTCAACCCCCAAACCATGAGCCCCCCCAAAAACGCTACGCCCTAAACTAAACCCCTTGAGTGCTGTGGCGCAGGCCCATGGAGCAGCGAAGATGCGACCTCTTGTAAAAGAAGCGGCCTCTGGGTTGTCTGATTTAGGGGGACTTACTGGGAGGTTCATAGGTAGTTTATAGGTAGGGTTAGAAGTAGGGTAGCTATAGTTATAACCTATATTAGGGGACTTATGACTCCACTTATAACTGCCCATGAACCTCCAAGTAGGGTTTCCTTAGGCCAAGTAGCCCTTATTGCAAAACTTTACGAGACTATTATGAGATGTTTCATCACTGGAACAGTTGGCTTTTTGCGACTCTGCCGCAGAAGGTGACGCAGTGGCTGCACATGTATATGCGATTGATCGGCCACGAACGGCCGTGAAACAAATATCTGGTGTAGACACCCTTGTAGACACCCCTAAAGCCCAACCCAAAACTCCGAAACGCCTAGCCTAAACCAAAACCCCCCCCATACCCCCAAACTCTACAAATGACAATGTCCCTAAACCGCAAAGCCCCTGAACCCCGAACCCTAAACCCTAAACCCTAAACCGGTTTCGGCCCATGAACCCCCCGGTAGGCTCGGACTGTAGAGCTTCAACTGTGGTCTTTGGGGTCTTTTTGTTTGGATTACTGTTTGCGGTTTAGGGTTTAGGGTTTAGGGTTTGAGGTTTAGGGTTTAGGGTTCATGATTGACAGTAGTTAAATGGCTGGATTTCGGATTTAGAGTCTCTGCACTAGGTATCTTCGCATTGGGTTGTTTCTATGATAAGTCCCGGAATCCCTGTAGTTATTGTATACCCGAACCCTAAACCCCCCAAACCCCTAAACCCAACGCATTTGTCACAGCTGTTAGGGGTCCGGTACTTTGGAAACTCCGACTAGGGTTCAGTGTGTACCCAGAGACTTTAATCAAGGAACATACTTTAGATTCTTATAGGAGCCAAAACAGAAAATTTACCAATTTAAGGTTTAATGTAGGATCCTGATTAAGAAACCCTGGCCCTATAACCCCAAATATATTCGGGTTCAATTTAAGAACCCTAATAAAGACCCAGCGTTTCTTAATCAGGTTCCTCTATATTCCTTAACTGAAGGGCCCTGAAGTCCCTGGGTAGAATAGGACCCTTAAGAATTACCCAGACTCTTTTGGGGGTTCCTTATTATAATTATGGTAGGATATACCGCAAAAGCCTGTTCCAATTCGTAAGGGCCCTAAACCCTAAACCCTAAACCCTATATTAGGGTTTAGGGTAAAGTGGAGGGGTGGAGGTCGAGGGGTCTAGGCTTTAGGATTTGTGCCCCGAGGGCCGAAAGGCCTGTGGGTATAGGGTTTAGGACATACAGGACAGTTATTAGAATTCAGGGGATCGTGGCTGAGGTTTCGAGGGCGTAGAAGAGGCTTTTGGATGCATGCTTTACTCACGCACAAAGCAGAGTTGTTGCGTAACCCTAAACCCTAAACCCTAAACCCTAAACCCTAAACCCTAAACCCTAAACCTTATAAACCCTAAACCCTAAACCCTAAACCCTAAACCCTAAACCCTATCCTCCCAGTTCTCGCATTAATTCCTGCAGGACACGGAAAGCGTGACTGGTGTGGTCCCAGAGATGAAGGCCCAGGAGTTTTCGGGTTCTGTGTAATATAGGTGGTGTTTAGGGTTTAGGGTTTAGGGTTTAGGGTTTAGGGTTTAGGGGGGCCTTAATAAGTAGAATAGGGTTTGGGGTACATTATACCATATTTATAACAAGGAGGGTCCAGGACCCTGTTGTAATTTTTGAGGCCCCTACATTACTTTGTAGCGTGTGGTGGTGAGGCTTTTGGAGTTGAGGGCTGACGAATTTGGGGCCTCTAAACCCTGAACCCCAAACCACCCAACCTAAACCTACAACCCTAAACCCTTACACCGTGGGTTTACCGATGTTCCGATGCTGTCGTGGTCGGTTTGCCGGGTTATGCCGGTAGGGGCCACTGGTGCCGGGGCAGCTACTCGGACTCACGGCTTAGGGATTAGGGTTTAGGGCCCCCTGGTTACGATAGACGCACATGTGCACATGTTTCGATCGAGTGTGTGTCTGGCATTCGAGGCATGAAGGCCACCCGTCTTCCCGGTCCGATTGCCTCATACTCATAGATGTATACATGCATAATCTTATATATATATATATGTATATATATATATATATACACTTCTCAAAATAATGGGAACTACAGTGACCATTGCTACTGTCCTAAATCCAAACCCTGACAGCGCTTAATACGTACAACACCGGGACCTATAGAAGCCCCGTTATAAGGCATTTGTCTAACCGCGGTACGCAAAATCCAGTACTACCTGCCAGAGACCCAGAGCTGGTCCGCTTATAGTCTCCATTTTAGTTCCTTTTTGGGTTACCCGGTAGGATCCTAAGCAAAATTGGTTAAACCGAAAGAGGAAGTATAAGGGAGACTATAGGATAGGTGGTACGGTTGATGGACAAAATCCTGCATGACCTTCTATACCTAAACTATGGGATTTATGGTACTATACTATATTTGGGTCATGCAGAATTTTGTACATCAGCAGTATCCAACCGGGCCTCCAGGGTAGAAAAGAGCATCGCAGGAAAACTCCTCATCCACGCTTCTTTGTTTCATATGGGTGGTTGTCAAAATTATGGTCCCTTTTTGGGTCCGTAATATAATACGGCACCTAATATTTAGGGTACCCAAAAAGGGACCCTAATTTTGACAACCACACATATGGCTCATGGAGTCGAAGTGGTCGGTGTGTTCGTATCGTCACTGGAAGTTGCGGTGGTAGTGGTGACGGGGGTAGTGGCGGCGGTCATCATAGGTGGTGTTGGTAGCAGTGGTAGTGGTAGCAATTAGTAAGACATGGATACATTCCTTGTTTTGCACAGTGCGCATGTTGAGATTGTTAGATTGCCGCGTTGTCAGCCCTACCCCGGGGAGACGAGAGCCGCATCTCGCCTCTCCGCACACCGCTGGCCAGGTGTGGGGCAGCTTTGCTATGTTGAGAGTTGCTAGATGCCTTTCAGGCCAACGCGCATGCGGCCGTGGCGTATGACAGCGGGGCAATGTGCCAATGTGTCCGCTGGGGGCATGCAGCCAGTGCGTGCACCCGCAAAAAGTGTCCAAGTTGGACCGTGGCGTTCTGCATGCGTGTGGCATCGCTGGAAGGGGAGGCCGCCTGTTGCTGTATCTTCTCGGAGTTTAGCGACGTGATGTTCTTGTACTGTTTGGAAGTTTGCCTTCATGCACGCGGCGCGTTTCATTGAAGGGCGCAGTTGGACGGCAATGCCCGCGTTGTACACGCAGGCCTAGCCCGGTCCATGCAGTAGACATGAGTTCATAAGTGTCATTCGTACACGAGGACGAGGAAGCAGCAGCAGCACTAGTAGATCTGAAGTGGAATCATTGTCGCTGTTCTTTCTCTTCTATTGCTGTCCGCTCCATCATTGCCACGGAGGTGTGCAGGATTGGTGAGGACGATGTTGCTCATGTTGAGCTGAGGTTGTTCAAGAACCCCGGCTCATGATCTTCATCCCCGAGATTCCAGCTGTCGTCTGGTCTAGATCTGAAAGCAAATAAGAAGTAGATGCAAAAACTGCAATATTGTGGTCGCCGCATAATGCACTCATACTCGCATTGGCACTGTACTATTACTGCTTCAGGAGTAGCATTTGCAGAACTTGTCGTCGTCGTCGTAGTAGTAGTAGTAGTAGTAGTAGTAGCAGCGGCAGTAGCAGTACCAGCAGCAGTAGCAGTAGCTGTAGCAACAGCAGCAGCGGTAGCAGCAGCAGCAGCAGCAGCAGCAGCAGCAGCAGTAGTAGTAGTAGTAGTAGTAATAGTAATAGCAATAGTAATAGTAGTAGTCGCCGTCGTCGCAGTAGCAGCAATCGGAGTAGGAGCAGCAGCACAGCGCAGAAACACAAGCTGTGATGCGTAGTGTTTGCGGTATCATTTCGTAGCAGCTCTTCTCGTCCTACGGGTAGGAGGTCTCTATCGTTGGAATAGTTACCTTTCATTCGAGTACTGTATGACCCATACGGTGGAGCATAGGTACAAAGTAAGCCAGTTGAAGTTTACCGTTCGTGGATATATATATATATATATACATACATATATATATATATATATATTTGGTATCCCCCCCCCAAAGATCTACCCGATTCTGTCTGTTTTGAGCTCTTGGTGTGCAATCCGTGCCTATTTGCTCTTCATGTCGTCTGTATGCCTGTCTTCCCACGTGAATACCCCAACACATAGCAAACAAACACACACTCACACACGTACACAAGGTCTGTGGAACTTCGTCGTACTGTGGCCTGGATTGAAACAGGATTGAAGGATTGAGTTTCAATCC